AGTGATTACTATCCAGAATATAAAAGGAACTCAAACAACTCAACAGTACAAAACCAAATAATCCTATCAAGAAACAGGCAAAGGAGCTGACTATACTTTTCTTCAAGGAAGACATATAAGTGGCCAACAGGTATTTGAAAAAATGCTCAACATCACTAATCATTAGGGAAATGCAAATCAAAACCACACTGAGATATCATCTCACACCAGTTAGACTGGCTATTATCAAAAAGACAGAGAACAACAAATGATGGCGAGGATATGGAGAAATTCCTTCTATGCTGTTGGTGGGACTGTAAATTAGGACAACCATTATGGAAAACAGTATGGGGGTTTCTCAAACCACATATGATCTGGCAATCCCACTACTGTGTATATATCCCAAGGAATGAAAATCATCATGTGAAAGGGTATTACCAGCATTCCTGTGTTTATTGCAGCTTTATTTACAATAGTCTAGCTATGGAACCAACCTAAATTTCCATCGATAGACCACTAGATAAGGAAAATGTGGTATATATACACAAAGGAATACTACTCTGCCATAAAAAAGAATTAAGGTCTGCCATTCACAGCGACATGGATGAACTTATAGAAAATTATGTTACATGTAGGGCCAGCCTGTGGCTCACTCGGGAGAGTGTGGTGCTGATAACACCAAGGCCGCGGGTTCAGATCCTATATAGGGATGGCCGGTGCGCTCACTGGCTGAGCGTGGTGCTGACAACACCAAGCTAAGGGTTAATATCCCCTTACAGGTCATCTTTAAAAAAAATAAAAAGAAAAAGAAAAGAAAATTATGTTACATGAAATAAACCAGGAACAAAAAGAGAAATGCTGCGTGTCCTCACTCATAAGCAGGAGCTAAACATTAGAAAAGTAAATAAATAAGAAAGGAAGGAAGGAAGGAAAAGAAAAAAGTGCAAACATAATAATATGTTGAACTTTCAGAAGGAGAGAATAGAACTGGGGTACTGCAAGTGGGGAAGGGGAAGAGAGAGGGAAGTTAATGAGAAATTGTTTAATGGACACAAAATATGATTTAATGATGAATAAGCTAATTATCCTGATTTGACTATCAAATGTTGTACATTTATAGTCTACTCTATACCCCCACAGGCTTTTTTGTTGAATCAATCAATGAGTGATTTAAATATGTAAAATTTTAAGTGTGCATTCCCTTTGACTTAATAAACACATACATACATATAAAAAAGGTCAACGCAGCATTGTTCATATTTGCCTAAATATGCATCACCAGGGAAATTTTAAAAGATAGCACAGATGCGTATATCAATATGGAAAGATGGCCACAGTATGTTATACTATGGGAAAAAATAGGTCACAAAGTAATATGCGTAATTCTCTATGTATGTGTTTATTTGCTTCTATCAAATTAATCAGGAATGAAACACCATCAATGAGAATATTTGAACAATAAGTTTGAGAGGTACTTTTGATTATTATTTTATTAAGATCTGATTTTTTGAATTATTGGAGGGTTTTTTTCCCAAACTAACACATACTACTTTCATTATTTAAATGTGAATCATAATATACACACAAATACATGGATAATAATTTCTGGGAACATAGAAAAAACCTGCTTTTAGTGAATAACTCTGGAAAATGAGATTAAGGTTTGAGTAGAAGAGACTTTATTTTTCATTAATATATTTTTTTAATATGAATTTTTATAATTTGTATGTAGTACTTTAAAAAAAAAAACTAATACTTAAAAAAAGATCCAACTAAACATAGTGACTTTACCACATATACTAGTCAAATAATCTTGGAAAGAGATTTTGAATCACTAAACTAATCCAAAACATTAACAAAGGGAAGTTTAATCTAAAAAAAAAAAAAAAAGATTTTCATTTTACCTTGAAGCTTAGGTCAATTCTATTGCATTATTTTATTCTTTTTCTTATATCAACTCATATTGTTTTAAGTAAATTCAAGAAAATTCAACTGAAGAGAATGTCACGATGGGCAAAAGAGAAATACATTATTTTACATTGGTTCTGCAGTAAAGCATTAAAGTCCAATTTCAGCAACAAAGAAGCCTTGAGTTAGAACCACCCAGCTAAGACACTCCAGATTTTTGGCCCACAGAAACTGTGAGATAATAAATGTTTGTTGTTTTAAGTTACTATTCTTTTGGGGTAATTTGTTACCCAGCAATAGATAACTAATACTAACATGAAATGAGTATGTCTGTGTTCTCATATCTCGCTCAGCCAGTGAGCGGGAACCGGTCTGTATGTGCGATCCGAACCCTCGGGCGGGAGCACCGCCGTGCTTCTCAAGCGGCGCACTATCCAGTGCGCCACCGGGCCGGCCCTCTACTTTTAATTTTTACCAAGACTTACAAGCTCCGTTCTTTCTGTGATTCCCTCCGTACCCTAGAGCCTCACTCTGGCTCAGGAATATGGTGGAGATCAGAAATGGAATGAGAGATTGATAAGGGGAAAGCTGGGGTGAATCTTACAGTGAAGTTAAATAAAGGTAATTTTTAAAATGCTTTGACATTTCATAGCTGTGTCAAATTCTCTGCTTCTAAGCAGAGCTAAAGATGTATAGTCTGGGTTAAGTTAGTGAGTTGGGATTTTAGCCAGTGTGCCAACAAATAACAACTCAAGGAAATGCTATTATGATAAATTTTTACATTTAAATTGTATGAAGCTCTAAATTTCTAAAATGATGCAGGCTGTCATGGAATAGCAGCTCAACTGTGTAATTCTAGAATAGTAGACAAATAAAGGTACCATGTTTATCAGTCAGGTCCAATAAGAAGATAGAAACTTCACAGTAATTGAACAGGGAACGTTTCATATAAACAATCAGCAACAGGGAATTGGAGTGGCTTGTATAACTTAAAGAGAACACTCAAAGAATTTATGAATATCAGATACAGGGAGCAGCCACTGCACCTAGGCCTAACAAATAGCACCTAAGGAAGAGGTCTGACCCAAGGCTAAGATCCAGTTCACATCAGAAAGGGAACAGCCAAGGATCATTGGATGTCAAAATAGTCCCTGGGTACTGCACCAGCAAAATTCACTGTAAATCTGCCTTTGGAGTGCAAGGGGAAGTTATCCATTGGGAGGTGCCTACCTGGTGGTGACACTCCACTAAAAAGTCATCTGCTATTGTCTGAATGTGTCCTCCAAAATTTGTATGTTGAAACTTAATCACCAATGCGACAATATTAAGAGGTGTGGCCTTTAAGATACGATTAAGTCATGAGGATGCAGACCTCATGAATGGGATTTGATCCCTTATAAAAGAACTTGAGATAGTGTGTTCATTCCCATCTGTCCCTTCTACCATGTGAGGACACAGTGTTCCTCCCCTCTGGAGGATGTAGGAACAAGGCTCTATTTTGGAAGCAGAGAGCAGCCCTCCCCAGACACCAAGGCTGCTGTCACCCTGACTTTGGACTTCCCAGCCTCCAGAACTGTGAGAAATAAATTTCTATTGCTTATAAATTACCCAGTCTGTGATATTTTCTTACAGCAGCACAAACAAAACATACCACCCAAGAGGGATATGCTTGAAGAAAGCATTCCCAAGGATGTGCTCCCCTGGCAGCACTCTGCTGCAAGATGGTCAAGGAAGGTGCCAGGTAATGCAGGGTAGATTTGGATCTGAGAGGCAGTAAATTGGTAACTGTCACACTATGCAGTACAGGTTGAATGGTGTCTCAAAGAAGGTATGTTGAAGTCCTAACTCCTCATACCTGTGAATGTGACTTTATTTGGAAGTTGGGTCTTTACAAATATAATGAAGCTAATATTGGGTAATTGAGGTGGGCCTTAATCTAATATGACTGATATCTTTATAAAAAGATGTAAATTTGGACACAGATACAAACAGAGATAAGAATGCCATGTGAAGATGCAAACACAAAGGTAAATGACCACATGAAGATGTAGAGTGTATTAACATTTATAAAGCAAGTGTATTTCACAGGGCCTAGCTTCCAAAGCCATGTAGCTTCAGGTGTAACCTAACTTTTAAAATTACACATAGAAATGTTAAGCTTGCAAAAGACAGGAGACTTTCCCCAGGCTAAAGTCTCTATGGTAGATAAAGAATTGTAACACAGCAAATTTGTTGGCTCAAGGACAGATGCCCTTGGTGCAACTAAACCAAATGACTCTTGCCATGACATTTATCTTACTGTTCTTTTTGTAACTACCTATGTTCCTTTTCTGTAATTTTCTGGCCCGGAGAATAAATACTGAGAGAAGACCCCAGTTCATTGTTAATTTTCCAAGGACTGCCTCTCTTTTGAGGGTTCATGGAAATTAACCCCTTTGGGGCTTCTCACTGCTCAGAAGAAATGGACTTTGAGTAATCCTCTTTGTGTCTCCGTCACCCTGGGGGAGAGGTGACATGAAGACAGAGGCAGAAATTAGATTTACACTGCCACAAACCAGTGAGTGCTTGGGACTACCAGAAAGTGGAAGGAGCAAGGAAGAATACTCCCACAGAGAATCCAGATGGAGCACAGCATTGTCAACACCTTGATTCTAAACTTGACAGACTCCAAAACTGTGACAGAATAAATATCTGTTATTTTAAGGCTCTCAGTTCATGGCACTTTGATGTAACAGCCCTAAGAAATGAATAAACCATGTATTTCCAGTCCCAATATGTCTTAGACCATGCTGGTCAGATTCTGAAGGCAAACACTAACAGACACCAAGTGATTAATCTAATTTTTGCCTTTCTTAAATATGGATGATTGATTAAAATCATTTAGGCTTGGAATCATAGAGCAGGAAAGAAATCTTGAGAATTCAAAGTCAATGCCCTCATTTTATTAAACTTTTTATGTAAATATAATATATATACAAAAGAATTTCACAAATCATAAATGTACAATTCAGTCACCCATTTTCACATCATGAATACCTATTTAGCTAGCCACCCAGGTCAAGAAACAGAACATTACAACACACCAAAACCCTCCTTATGTCCCTTTTCAATCACTAACCCACTTCAGGCATAGCCACTCTCCTGACTTCTAATACAATAGATTTGTCGTTTTGCTCAAACTGTAAATCTTCAAACTGTAAATAACTGGAATCATACAGTGTGTATTCTTTTGCATCTGGTTTCTTTAGTTCATTATTACATTTGTGAGATTAATATACATTGTTGTGTATAGCTGTAGTTTGTTCATTGGCATTGCCATACCACATGATCAGAAAAGTATGGCCTCTGAGCCAAATCTGGCTGACCTGTTTCTGTAAATGAAGTTTTATTGAACACAGCCACACCCATTTGTTTATGCATAGTCTATGGCTTCTTTCATGCTACAAAGACAGGGCTGAGAAGTAGAGGTAGAGATAGTATGACCCGCAAAGCCCAAAATATTTACTGTCTGGCTCTTTACAGAAGTTTCCCAACCCTGCCATGTAGTATTCTGATGAGTATATATACCACAATTTATTTATCCCTTCTACTGTTGACAAGCATTTTAGTAATTCCCACTCTAAGTCTAAAACAATTAGTGCTACTATTAACATTTACTAAATATCTTTTCCTTAAGACATGTAAGCATTTCTGTTATGCATATAACTAGCAGGGGAATTGCTGGGCATGTATACACATATTCCTGCTTCAGTAAATATTGTCAGTTTTCCAAAGTTCCAGTCTCCTCGTTTTAATGAATAAGGAAACTGATGCCCTGAAATGCTGGATCATATCACAGCAATGAATCAGGGAAAATTATTTTTGGCTTTGGAAAATTTGTGTTTTAAAATCAAACTAAACCTCAAAGGAAAGTATTGAGTTAAATTAAGTTAAATTCTAAACTTACAGGCACAGAGTGAAATCATTTGTGCAGAAAAAGCATTTCTTGCTCTCAACAGTAGACAGTGCATTTTATAAGAATCTGGGAACAGAAAAACTTGGGAATAAAGCTGTAGCTTATAAAGTCCTTACCTTAGAATAAATACAGCCATCAGTTCCAAACACCCACTTCTGAGACTCATCTCCTTTGTGTCTGTAGTAAAAATGTAATTTAGAGATTGACACCTCTTCTCCACAGAAATACTTGTACGTTTCAAATAAAATGATCATTTTCTTATAAGAATCTGGGAACAGAAAAACTTGGGAATAAAGCTGTAGCTTATAAAGTCCTTACCTTTGAATAAATACAGCCATCAGTTCCAAACACCCACTTCTGAGACTCATCTCCTTTGTGTCTGTAATAAAAATGTAATTTAGAGATTGACACCTCTTCTCCACAGAAATACTTGTACGTTTCAAATAAAATGATCATTTTCCATATAGCCTGTCAGGAAGACTGCCTACACTCTACTAAGGATTCTGCCATAATCACGGCTATATCAGCAGCTAAAACCTTTCCCAATACAATCAATTTCTCTGCTACAATGCTCTGGTACTCAAAGTGGTGTGTGTGTGTGCGCACAGTGTGCATACATGTTTATGTATGTGTATTACCAATAGCAACAGTGATTAAGAATTTCGGAGAATAAATTCTATCAACAAGATTATAGAAATGTCTGCCCCCAAAATATCCTCTGTGAGACAGAAGGAGAGGGGCTTAATTAAGTATAAGAGGATGGTATGGAAAAGGATATCATGGAAAATTAGGAACCACAGGCACCTATTTCTGAAACAAGAAGAAAATTTTATTAGGAAATATCATATTTTCTGAGCCAAGTCTGAGTAAGAAAAAAACCTGAAGTGTGATGAAGCTAATCATGCCTAAATTTACTAATCATGGATTCAGTAATATTTAGAAATCTTACAAAGGTAGGACAAAATGAATTAAATTAAGTGTAACAGAATGTTAAACAAGACTTTTCCTACTGCCTCTGAGTTTTGACAGAAACATCAAAGGTTGAGAATAAGAGGTGTCAGGTAATGCTCTATTGTAAAGCAAGGTGCTATATGATCTGGGTAGAACATGTGAAGGCAGCCATTTAAAAATGGTTCAGTACACATTAGTCTTTCACCCATATCCAGTCTATATAGGAGAATATGAAGAATTTGGAGGCATGTTGAAATGGGTGTTTGATAACAATGTAGGTCTCCAGACCCCTATCAGAGATTTTAATTCAGAAGGTCAGACGCCCAGAAATCTACATTAATAGGTGTTTCAAATGAGTCCAATTATAAGAACTCTGGGGAATGTGGATGTGTGTGGTCTATAGACGAGGCTTCAGAAAAAACTGAACTAAAGTGATGAGAGAAGTGAGAAAAAGAAGGATCCAATGTTTAAAGTTATGAAATAATAAGAAATATATTATCTCTGCCCTGGGTTCCTGACACAGAGCTCTTATCTCCCTTGAAATTTCTTGGGTGATAGGAACATTCCTTTTTCTAATGAGGCAGCTCTTGGTGGGCTCCTGGAGAGAGCTTGGTCACCAGAAAGACCAAGCCATGATTAGAAACTTAGAACTATCAGTACCACCCTCCATCTTCTGGGGAGGAAAGAGAAGCTGGAGGTTGAGTTAATAATCAATCATGCCTCCATAAAAATCCCTGAAGTACAGTGTTTGAAGAGCTTCCAGGTTTGTGAACACATCAGTGTGACAGGAGGGTGCTGCACCTCAACTCCACAGAGAAAAAAGTCGGGGCAGTCTTGTGAGACTGAGCCCTGAACTTGTGGGATGTAATGCTAACTCCAGGTATACAGTGCCAGAACTGAATTGAATTGTAGAACCCCCAGTTGGGGTCCACAGGGAATTGGAGAATTGCTTGCTGTGAAAACAACAACCACAATCCAGTATCAGAAGTAAAGTGCATAAACAGTTTGTTTCCCCATACAAAAATATTAAAGACGAAGAACTGGTTTGGTGATTGAAATGGTGTGGGGGGTTAAAGAGAGTGATCAGGGTAAGTCTCAGATGTCAAATATGGGTAAAGAAAGAGAAGATGACACTATTAAAAGAAAAAGAAATTAGAATGGAGGAGAGGGAAGCAGAGACGTGAGAAAGTATAAAGACTTCTAATACTTATGTAAAACAAATTTTATGAAATATCTTTCAGGGCATACCTGGTTGCAAAGCTAAGAATCCCATTTTCAGGCTTTAGACAATCATAATTGTTGCTCAAACAATTTCAGCATCAGGTGGGATGATGGAGGTATTGGGGGAAGTAGTCTTTCTAAGGATTTTTTATTTTGTAACTAAAAAGGGAAAAGAAATGCTTTTTCATTCCGACCTGGGATCCAGAACTAAAATTATGATTATGATAATAACAATTATCTAAAAAACAACACATAGACTATGAGAATCCAAATAGAATTGAGGGTTTATGTTGGTATATTCCCCATTGTATAGATAAATAAAGTGAGATACAAAGAGGTAAAGTGAACTGGTCAAAATCATAGCACCAGGTAGTATCCAAATAGGTGCTAGAACCCAGAGTGTCTGACTTTCAGCTCAGCACCTTCTCAATTAGATCGGAAAAGTATAACACAAGGTATTTTGTGTAACTTGAAGACTGAAAATGGAATTTAGTATCACTGATTATAATTTGACACATAATTTCAGTGCCTTAATACACTCTTATGCAATCATAAATATTTTTATACAATTGTATTAAAATAATTACCAAAGAGTTTCATACTATAACAACTTCTCCTGAGGTACTAAGAAAGTTCATATTTCAACCACTAAATGAAGAAATAACAAAAACAATAATGCTAGTCTTCAAGGCTGTCAATTTCAAGCTCAGAACTACACTCCTTTAAAAAAAATAAGATAAAAAGCAGTGATTGCTGTAATGCTTTGATGGAAATGTGTTGGGTTGTGACAATATTTAGATCATTTTAATGTGCAAGAGCTATAAGTCAGTGCAACTTTATTGCTCACAAGCAATCCCTCCTGTTATGTAAATGATTACGAGTATATTTCTTCAAGATAAATAAAATAGATGATGATAATATTTCAAAGTATAAGGCATCTGCTATTGGTTATTAATATACTGATGCTAATCATGAAAACCCGTGAAATTCAGTTTTGTCTTCTTACTGTACTATAGTGTTGGCATGAGGATAAATTACACTGATTTTAGTTCCAACTTTCTAAATTTATAGCATGTTTTCCTAAGAATAAAGCTACAGGAAAGATGCCCATCAGACTGGCAACTGTGTGAGGGCAGAGATCACCTGTGTCCTCAGAGCTAATCACAGTGCCTGGCATAGAACAGGAGATTAAAGATATCTTTGAATAAATACACATGTAAATAAAGTGTCGAAATGTTACTACCCTAAAAATTGATAGTAAGGCCATCACAAAAAGTGCTTTAAATATAATATTTGCTGTTTATGGGATCTAAAAGACCTTCTTTGAGAGTGTGTAAAGAAACATAAATTACACCTTAGTTTAGAAAATAAGAAATAATTCTGAAAGAAATGAAAATATCCTAGCATTTGTCAAATTTTATCACAGCTTCAATTCTGTTCAAGCATATATTTGCCTAGGAAATTTTACTAAAAACATGTAGTTTTGTACCATCTCTAAGCCCTGGGAGCTTGCTAGAATATCTGTAAACATTACCTTTAAATTTTACCAAAGTTTTAAAAAACAAATCTCTCATGTAGTGCCAGATTAGGCCAGATGAGAAGGTATTATTCTAATTTATGGTAACTTCCTTAAAAAATAAAATTTCTTCACACAAAATTGTATTTGTTTATTTTTCAAGACATTTTATATGTAAAAAAAATCAAACTTAGATCCAACATGCAATGATGCTCATATGAGACTGATTTAGAGAATGATTGTCATGACTTTCCTCTTCTTGGTCAACAAGCATCAAGTTAAAAAGATTTTTAAAATAAACAAAAACAAAATAAAAAAATCAGAAGGAGCAGTATTCCATCTAAAAATCAATTATAAATCACATGACATAAGCTGAAGTAATGATGAAAGACCTAAGTTCTACTCCTGGATCTGACATTAACTAGATATGACCTTCAGTAAACCACTTAGTCTCTAGTGGTCTTGGAATTTCTTATAATGATAATAATATTATTACTTTTACCACACCACCACCACCATGACTACTACTATCAAAGAAGGGTTTGGAGTAGATGCTCTTCACAGTCCTTCCTTCTCTGAAAGCATGTAACTTCCAAGACTATTCAGTCTCATGCTTTCATTTCATAGGTGAGGAATTGAAGATTATCTGTCCTAGGGAGCTTGCTAATTGTAACCCTGTTAAGCATGCATGTATATACAAGTACAGATCTATATAAATGATAGAGATATAGATGTAGATATAGATATATATACAGATATCAATTAGATATAGATCCTATTGGGAATCTATAAAACATATATATTGTGTGTGTATACATACATATATACATACAAATATATATGTATATATTCTTTGAAATATTCCATTTATTAGATAATAGAGACAAAATGGCAACCCATGGCCACAGTTTAGTTTGGGGAAAATTTCACAGGCTGATGTTCATTATTTCTAGTTGACTATAAGGAGGACTGTCACCATGTTTCACAGTCACAAATCTGTTTTCCCAGACAGCCTCAAATGGCTCTGGTATTTGCCAGTGCTACCTGAGCCAAAAGTAGAATCCACATTAGAGAACCAGGGAAAAGAGAATTCCTCTCCACAATTCTTAACACAGTAGAAACAGAGATAAGAAGTTTTATTCAGCAATCCACATACTGTGAAATTATATATAGACAATTTTGTATTTGATGTTGACATTTCTAATGGTGTTATCTATAAGGGTGAATATTACTTCTGTCTGCTGCTATTACCTAGCACTATACAGCTACATTTGGTGGCTCTACTTAAAGGTGTCCTTAAAGTAGTATGCATTTTTAACCTAGTCTGGTAAATGTCAGCTAGTTATTTCATTTCCAGCTAGGCCTAAGTGGATAAAAAAGTGAATTCAAAAAACTACAACTGAAAGTTCAACACTGAAATAAGGAAAATGCTAAAAAATTATTTACAATTGAGAAATACCACGTCCTCACTCATAAGTGGGAGCTAAGAAATAAAGTAAGAAAGAAAGACCATAATAAAATGTTGAACTTTCAGAAGGAGAGAACAAATCTATAGTTACTAGAGGTGGGAAAGGGGGAGGGGGATAGGGAGTAAATGGGTAAGGGTCACAAAAAGTAATTATGATTTGTAATGATGAATATGCTAATAATATTGATTTGATCATCACATACTGTGCAAAAATAGTGATAGT